GTAGTTTGAGGTGACTGCGGTAAGGCAGAGATAAACTTGGTACCTATCGGTTAAAACCAGGGTTACTTTGATCACTAGACTGGTTTACCACAGTTGAGCCACTCTAATCATCAACAACTCTCCATTTGGAAAACAAGTTATATAGTCACTTTGTTTCTGACTGACTCACATTTCTGCACAAATTTTCCTCTTCAACAATTTGCTGACTATGCCAGGAATCCTGCCATACGGAGAGAGAAAAGAGTGATGCGTATGGATCGGAGGGTCCTGTGATTAGGGAAATCAGGACATAAATCAATAGTAACAATAGCACCTTGCTAGATCTCTACCATGAATACCAGGGAGACATAGATTTTTCAGAAATTTCTAATTAAATTCTTACAGAGGAACAAATGCTGTCCTTATCATTATGTGACAAATGCTGAAATTTGAAAAAGTTAGTTAAAATATTTGTCCACCTACCTGAGGATAAGCACAACTTATAAGTGATTTGGCATTAAAATACCTAACAAAATAAAATATTTTGTTCTATCTTCGAGGTACTACGAGTCGATGGTGAGAAAGCACACGACAAGAGGAACAAATCAGAAGCATAAATGACAGAATATTATCGTCCAGGTATTCAAAGATCTCTCCCAAGTTTACATTATTAGTAATAAAACTTAATAAAAAAAAAAAACAAGAGAGAATGGAAATAAAACATTTATCAAACACATGCAATAAGCCATCGGAACTAGCTTTCCACCTTATGTTTCCTAGTTCCCCTAAATCCCTACTAAGGTGATAGTGGCTTTCTCCTTTTAGGACAAGGGAACAGCATGGCAGAAGCCACTCACCTGGGTCACTGGGTCCAGTCCAGATCCGCTTAGGCTGAGGCCTCTTTCCTTGCCCTGCACTGTAGCAATTGCTTCCATTTCCCAATCCCAGTGCACACACTGGCTGATATCAGGAAACCACTGATTATCCAGAATCAAGAGAATGAATTTGGAATTTCCCAAAACATAATCCAAAAACAAATCTATGTACCTTTTGTAAACTCTGAAGAAATGAAACAAGACTACTTTGCCACATTTTCTTTAGCTTGAAAAGCAGATTCTCACGCAGTTGTGAATGACTAGAGAGGAGGGGGGAAAAGAAAGGGAGATTGTATAAAAATACATAGTGATCCAAAAAGTATTTGTTGAGCTAGCCATGCTGATCCCTAGGAAGAGTTCTTACAAAATGAATTCATCTCTTCTTGCTGTTCCTCTAATGCCAATTATAACAAAATCCCCTATTGGGTTTCAAAGTCATTGTGGAGAAAGGAGAGGACTCACAGAGCTATGGATAAATGCTCCAAAGCATTGAAACAAGGCTCATAACACCTTCTGTGACTTCCAAACTAGTTTAACAATAAAAAACTGAAATCTTTGAATATGCCCCTTGTCAGCCCTGTTTCAGTATGCAAATGGAAGTTACTCTTTAAAAAGAAAGAAAGAAAAAACAAGACCCTGTGTAATTGCTGAATGCAAACCCACGTGGTCCCGCTACCTCATGGATCAGGCAGGCACATACATATTTGCTGACAACCACATACAAGCACACTCCGGTTCTCACACTTCCCCAATGCCTGCAGCCTTCTGGCCTGGGCTCTGTCCAGTCACTTCTTGAGGCCCAGCCCAGCCCGGCTCTCATAAGCACTGTCTTCTCTCATGATCTCATCTGCACTCACAGCCTCAATTCCCCGTTGACCCACAGTTATGCCTCCAGCCAGGATTCTCTGAACTCTAGACTCATATATCTGTCTGCTTTGTGGACGTTTCCATGTGGATGTCCCTAAACCCGCCCAAAAGGAGCTCACCATCGTCCTTCTCCTCCAAGGAATCTGTCTCTCCCAAGAACGGGAGAATGTGTCCGTGGGAGTACCTTTTTCCCATTCTCCACAAATGCCAGCAGCCATCCTCCAGATACAACCATAATCTGAATATCTGCTTGGCACAGCCCTCCTGTCCTCCCTCTTTCCAGAACTTTCCCCTTCACATTACTTGCTTAGGATATAACAAAAAAGCACAGGAAATTGGAAGATAGTGCTTCTTATCCTTTCCTGGTCGTGTTCCCACTTGATTACATGTTGCCGATTTCTGATTTCATTATTCTCAGGATTTTTATGTCTGATAAAGAGAACAGAAAAGCTTACAGACCATACCCAGACAAGCATTTTTCAGAGGACCATGAAACGTTACTTTCAAAAGATTCATTAAAGTGGTTCTTTACATTCTACCCTTTAAAACTGGTGGTGGCAGTAGTTCTAAGTAATTAAGACTGTGTGCTCATTGCGTTCCTCAGACTTTCTTGCTCCATCCTGAGCCCAGTGTTTGGGTTCTAGGCAAGTGCTCTGGTGTACTGGGTTGTTCAGTCTGACCCCAAGATGATTTCATCTGCTTAGAACACTCTGCAAATAGGCTTTGTGTGCAAATGCAATGTTTGAATTAAGAAGTAGGACTTGGTTTTTGTTGTCTTTGGGGTTTGGCTGGCTCACTTTCGATGTACTCAAAAGAATCATTAAGACTGCAAACAGGCACAGCCTAGCTAGGACAAGCTTGGTTGCTCCTATCGGAAGTGCTGGCTCTGCCTGTCACTCCTGTAAAAGGCTGAGGCCTCTGGTCCTCTCCCGGGGGCAGCCTGATGTACCAGCCCGACCTTTGCCTGTTAGTGCTCTGTGTTGCCTCCTGTCACACAGTGGTTACTCCTCCCCCTGCCATGAAGCTCATTCCAGGGCCCATGTGGTGGCTCCCACCCACCAGCAGTATGTATGGTAGCCTGCCTAGGGCTCTGCAAGCTCTAACCCCTCCCTGTCCGGAGAGTGCACCCTGGCTTTACCCCCAGTGGGGCAGATGCTAGACGTATCCACAAATTTTGCCATAGTTTACCACTGCTCAATAAGACCATGTCCTGAAAAGGACCCACTCACCTGAAGGAAGATCACTTATCCCCCATTGGAAGCACAAATTAGTACTTAATCAAACAAAAAAGCACATTGATTCTGGGCACTGGTACCTCTGCAAACAGGCTGCGTGATTATGGCTCTGTACAGTTAAGGCCTGAGAAATCTCAGTTCTACAGCAATGAATTCACTTGCTTCTCTTCAGTTTCTGGAACTACTCTGAGTGTGGAACATTTTCGGCCAACTTGTCTTTGAGATTCCTGTTGGCAAGACAAAGAACCTCTGGGGTACCAGGAAGAAGCTCGTGAGATAGGATGTTCCAGATACTTCCAAAGTGACTCCAGTTTCCAGTCAGTAGCAGCCAGGCACAGTGGCACACCTGTCATCCTAGTACTCTGGGAGACCAAGGCACAAGTATTGTAAGTTTGAGCCCAGCCTGTGCAAGGGAGCAGTTTAGTGAGAACTTGTCTCAAAGTAGAATTTAACAAAGGCAGGGCATGTGGTTCAGTGTGAAGGCCTCAGGATTCAATCTCCAGTACAAAACAAAAAAGCCAGTTGCTAGGTGAGCAGGCAATTTTAGGGACAGGCTAAATTATGTCATTATGGGGATAGGGAGCTGCAGCCTCTAAAAGACCAGTACCAGGCCTTCAAAAGGCTATTTCCTTCCAGCTAAGGCTCTTTGAAGAAACTTATAAAGAACCACCTCAAATCACCAAGTAGATCTGGTTCCTCTTTTTAGGTGACCCATAGAAATCTTGCTTGTTATAACACTACACTTTTTCCCAGGGCCATTTGTGCTCACATCTTTCCTTGCAGTATGACGTATGAATATGCTCAGGAATGTGCCAGCCTTTAGAGCTGACCCTGAGTCTTCTCTAACTGGCTTCATCTAACTCCCCCCCATAAAAGCCTCTGCTTTCTTTGCAAATTAACTCTCCGAGCTTTCTTTACTTTCTGTGGGTCATAAAGCACATTTCACTTCTTTACCCTCCCCTGCTCCCCATGTTTATCTGCTTTGCATCCGCCAAGAGGAGAACTCATTTCTTTTAGTCACAAAATCAAGGGGGTAAGGAGGGCTCATCCGTGTCTCTTGGTGAGCAATAATCTGTAGGGAATAACAGGTCCCCTGCTAAAGAAGTAGGTGACGTTCAGCTGAAAGAAGGAGTTACCAGCCACTTCCTGCCGCCTCGAACCCCTCTACCCGCCCTCTTCTCCTGCAGCTTTGAGCCCCCGTGGAGCAGAAGCTGAGGGACACCCAGGACGCCACGGCAGGTGGTGCCCATGAGACTGTGAATGCAGTGGGGATCCTGAGTTCAGAAGAACATCATTGGGACCGCATCCCTAGTCTCCATTTTTGCTTCTGCTAGGGTTATTTCCAAAAGATGAAAAATATTAACAAAAGATGAGAAATATAAAATAAAAAGCGGCCTTTATTCTGAGAACACGGAGAGAGATGACTGGCACCCCCACGGCTGGCGTTCCGCGATCTCTCCGGCGGACACATGGCGTGAGGGCCTGTAAATAGCCTCCGTTTGGGGTGGAACCTAAGGCGGGCATTAGGGATACACAGGTAGCCGATTGGTCCTAGGTTTGGTGCCATATGTAAATTTCCAGGGGTGGGAAGATGGCGTCACAGGTAACTTCCTAGGGGCAGGGGAGATAGGGGCTTCCTGCTTCGGGTTGAGGTTTTCCTGGCTACAGTGTCCTGTCTGGGCCAAAACCCTTTCAGCTTCTAAGTAGCAGCATGACTAGCCCTGAGCCCAGTGGACATCAGGAGCTGAAGGACAGGCAAAAGGGCCTTGTCAGGGTTCCTGGAGGGGAAGAACAATCCAGGCTTTTCACTGGGTGCAGAAGGAAAACCACCATGTAGGTGTGTCCACCGCAGCAGCCATGTCCCGAGGTGGTACTACACCTGTGGCAACACCTAGAAGCTGGAGAACCCTGGCCTTGCTGGCTCTATTGCCTTTGCACATCCACATCCTGCTCAACTCCTTCCCTTTTGCCCCAGGCCAGCTTTCCCCAATCTTCCAGCCTCTCTTAAGCAATCAGACCCAAGGAGGTAGCCAGGAAGCAGGGCCTTTCATATTTTATTCACACAGCTCAGTGGGTGGTGGGGTCGAGGCCCCCCATGGGGTTACTGGACACAAAACAGGTCCATTAAACAAATGGTCCGACTCAAGTCCCGGCTGCTGCTGGTAAAGGGAGTTCCCATTCCCGTTGTCCTAAATCACTGGGGATTGTTTACTGCGAAACACAGACAGGAGAAACAGCAGCCGTGTGCCTCTGCGTGTCTTGGCTGAACCGACTTTTGCATTCTAAGCACTGTAAGTACCAAGTGGCCGGGATGGCTGCATGCCAAATAGTAATGTTTCCTTTTGCTGTTGTTGAAAAAAGCCTTCAGGAAAACAATTGAGCTCAATAAGGGCCTTCCTGTTCCGGCAGGCAGGCGGGCCTGCGAACCACCCAGCAAACATGGAGTGAGTCAGACTGGGGAGCTATGAGCTTCCTTCTCTTTTGTCACCAAGCTCTCTCCCAGGCAGCTGCAGGGAGGAGGAAAAGCCAGGCCCACGAGGTCTGCAACTGTGCACCCTCTTGTGCTAGATTAGCATTTTCAGAATCTGCTTCTCGTACCTCTCTAGACACCATGGGATTGCCCGGCTACCCAAAATCAGTGTTTACAGGGACGGTGGGAAAGGCTGGCTATGGTTATCCCCCAGCCCAGAAGTCTGTTGTATAAAGGAAGGACCACTGAGGCTTGCTCCAAGAAAATTCAAGATGCCTGCCTTCCCAGGCTTTCATTACGTGGTGGGCACAGATAGGATGAGCATATGCTTGACTAACTGAGGCACAGTCAAATAATCACAGCTGCCAACCCATGAAGGGTAAATGACTGAGCTCCAGGAAACTAAACGTATGCCCAACTAATTGGAATGATCAGAAAGAACTCATACCTTGAAGTGAGTTTTTACCCTTAATTTCCCTGAAAATGAAACTGAAATACTAAATTGCATTCACCTGTCTTGGATTCATGAAAAAGAACCTAGAGAGCTACAGTGTGGTCAGTGCTTAGCTGGTGATGATGAGACTGATTCTCTCTCTCTGCTCTGTCTCTCTCTTATTCCCTCTCTTGCATTCTATCTCTCACTTCCTCTCTTCCTTGCTTTTAGGCTGTCGTATCACACTGTGCCATGAATAGAATCTAAAGTCTAAAAGATCCTTTAAAAGGAGCAAGAGAGTGAAGAGAATCACGATGCCATATATACATATGCCACTTCCCCACAATAAATAGAATTACATACCGCAAACACACGCTACTGATAAATTTACTTGAGTCTTCAAAGGAGATGGCAACCTTGACACCATTCCCCAGAGTGTTCTAACAGCCAGGGCTCCAAGCTGCTTAACCAAAAGTTACATTGAATTCTCAGGATCTACGCTACCTACTATAAAATTTTCCACCAGCCATTTATATTTTAATAAAACAATATTTAATTTGAGACTTAGTGGCTCTACCTATCCCAGTACTAAACTGATTTGGTGCTGATATTAATACTAAATTAATAATCCCATTAGTATTACTAATAATACTATTACTACTCACTAGAAGCCAATCAATAGTCATTGGATCAATTATTTGGACTATCTCGTAAACTGTCCTTGGTTCAGAAAGAAGCAGTGGTACACAGACTCTTTCTTGTTCCAAAATGAAACTAAATTTCTAAATGGAAATTATTTTTCATGAAGGATGGAGATAATTTGTCAGTTGAAGAGGATTAGCGTTTTTCAATCATAATAGAAAATAATTCAAAAATGTGCAGGTGGCAAAGGGTGGCAGGAGTAAAGGCATTAGATTTTTCAAACATATTTTCTGCTTTTGTTTTTGTTTTTGAGACAGTCACGTTGTATGGCCCAGGCTGGTCTCAAACACACGCGGTAACCTCCTACTATGGCTACCTGAGTGCTGGGTCACAGCTACATGCCACAAGGTCCTGTTTAAATCAATTGTATTAAATCACATTAATTGATACATTGTTTAAAAATTTACATTTAAATGTGAATCTAGACTCAAGAAAATATTAATTCAGTGTTACAGTGAAATATCTACCAGATTTGTACACTAACTCTATGTGATATTATAATAGTTCGGGGTTTTTTGTTGGTTTTTTGGGGGGGCAGGGGGATTGGAGTTTTTTGTTTTTGTTTTTGGTTTGGTTTGGTTTTCATCCATGGTTCCTGCCTCTTAATATCTTCCCAAGTCAGATCATAGAAGCTAAAGTTTCTCTCCCCCAAGGTGGACCACAGAAACTAATTGTCCATCAGCCTTGTCTTGGAGCTGGCCTCTAACCTAGCTCTGCACAGAAGCCAAGAAGAATCTAAATTCACATACCTTGCTGGTTTGTCCCACCCAATCTATCAGCAATCTTGCCTGTGTAATGAATTCTCTACTTTAAAAAATCCAAGAGGACAGGGTTGTAAGAGCATCAGGGAGGTGAATATGAAGGGTTCCTAGGGGATGGAGAGCCCAAAGAGAGCGTGGAACCTGTTCCCCCTTCTCCCAACTTTCACCCTGTATCTCTTCATTTGCATCTTCTGTAAACTTTTAAAGTTGATGTGTAAATGTAAGCATTTCCCTAGATCCTATGAGCTGCTCAGACATAATTAATCAGATCTGAGGAGGAGGCTGTGGGAACCTCTGATAGCCAGTCAGCAGCACAGGAAGACAACCTGGGGCTCGCAGTTGGCACCTCAAGTCAGTAAGGGCAGCCAGTCTCGGGCACAGTGCCTGCAGCCTGTAGGATCCCACACTGTCTCCAGGTAGACTGTGTCAGAATTAAATTGGATTAGAAGACCCCCAGCTGGGGTCCGCTGCTACAGAATCAATTGCTTAATGTGAGGGACCACACAGAGACATCTGGTGTCAGAATTCTTCTGTGTTGGCCGAGGTGTGAAAATTGACAGAAAAACAACACTTTGTTTTCCTGAGGCACATTGGATTAGACTTATAATTACAGGAAATTCTGGGGTACCCTTTCTCTTCACCCTAAAAAAATTGTTCAATCAAACTCATTCAAAAACCCATTCATATAGTCAGGTGGCAGTCACTGGTACACTTCAATCAGTCCATATGAATATTCATTTGAAATCGAGCACTTTAATGTAGGGTACATCTCATTTTAGAATCACAATCTACATCCTTACAAGAGGCTCAAATTTGGTCTCAAACATTTGATGAAAGAAAAATTTCCATTAAAAAAAAATGCCAGCAACATTTTGTCATTGAGGCCAGAAAATTCAGAGCACTTCTGGGTAATAGACCCAAAATTCTTACCAACCACCTTCTTGGTAGGCACGGGTCATTTTCAGCTCAGTCAGGTCTCTGGGAAACTGAACCACAGGAATAGCACAGATGCTGAATAAATCAGATACATCCTGTGGTTTTGTGCTTCAAAGGTAGCCACAAATTCTTAAGGTATGATTCATAGTCATCGAAATCCATGAGCGTCCTCTAAGGTTGTTCTTTCCCTTCCAATGTACAGCTCTGAAATTCCTCAGATCTACCATGCTGAGAAGATCAAGGGAAGTTCTTCAGTAGATTGAAAATGTGGTAGGGAATGAATGTAGTTGTCACCTGTCATTAGAACCTGCATCAACTTGAATAAAAATTAGCTAGGATCCATGCCTTCTTAACCCTTTCCGGGACCCAGAGGAAAGGGTCCCAGAGGAACCTTTCCTTTCCCTTTCCCAAAAGAAAAGCTATGTATTTTAGAGATATTCAAAGCGAGTATCTTACATCCTCCAGGATTGTATGCTAAATTTGAAGATCCTAGCAAACTACCAAACTATTCTGCACATGTACACCAGAGTTTTGAGAGTTTTGAAGCTATGCTTTGTCATAAGAATGTGAAGTAAGAGACACTCATTCATTTTCCTGGCAGATGTACTTTATTGATTCTTTATCCCAAAACAGAGAGCAAAACAAAAAATGATCAGAGAACCTATGTAAAATGTACCATTCTGGGCATAAAAGTGGATACTGCTATCGGTTCTTGTGGGATAACAAAACATTCCAGAACTTGGTGGCTTAAAACAATGGCTAATTAGTTCTCTCTCAAGTCTATAGGTTAGTAATGGAGCTGTGCTCCACAATCATCTAGGTTGCTCATTAAATTTTTTCTGGGCTCACCACTGTATCTGTGATTGACTGCTAGGCCAGTTTTAGTACTGGTTTAGCGTAGTCTCTGACTACATAATCTCTGATCTTCCAACTGCTACCTGGCCACTTGTTGGGGATCTAAGATCCCCAGCTATCTGTACGAGCAGCATGGTGAAGGATAAAATAAGAAACAGAGATAAATTTAGTAATTCATGATGGGGGCTGGAAGGCCAATGCCTCAGGATGGAATTGTTATAGTTTTAAAACTACTTTGACTAATATTTCTAGGTAAGGCAGGCAGAGAATGTGAAGGAATACTCTGTGCAGAAAAGGGGAATACTTCCCCATACCATCCTTTAGTCCTTCCTTCTTGGGAGGCAGGCAGGCTGCGCTCAGCGATGTGGATAGTGCCTCTGAAAGGATGACCAGCTTACCTACGTCACAGAAAATAATTTGGAGTCCACTATGAAACTGGCACTGTGATACCAAGGTTCAGGGTCTGTCTGACCTTCCTTTGGAAAAGAAGAACATTTCTTTTCCTGTGTCACCATGGAATCCATTCAAACTCCCAGAAGAACTGCAAAAACCATTTTCACACTCTCACTGTTCTTTAAGATCTGCTTCTTTACCTGGGGAGGAAACAAAATCTATTTTCATTCATGTAGAAGTTGTTTCACCTGATATGCCCTCAGTCCCAACACTTGAGAAATCAATAAATGATAAAACCTTTCCTGCTTCCTTGCCAACTGGCAAATTTTCTTTCCTTAATTCACAATTAAACTATTCCTGTAGAATAATGAAAGTGAAACTTCACTATTTACTCATTTTGATTGCTCCAATCATTAAATACTCAGAAAAGATATGTTACTATGTTTTGTGCCCACAGGGAAACGATTGTGGTTAGAGGTTGAAGTTATTCAACAAACAAAAATAGTTTTTTTAATGCGCCTCCTCCAAAAGAAAAAATGTAAAACAGCCAAGATAATTTAGGGGTTAGGCATTTCCTTAGAGCTAATGATCAGCTGAGTCTGTGAGACAGTTTGTAACATGGCAAGGAAGGCGCCTCTAAGGATGCTGGAGTTCTGGAGACATTTCTCAGGCACAAATGGGACTGGAAGTAAATATGTGTTCACAGAAAAAGTTGGGTTTTTTCCAAATCCTATTTTACAC